ATTGTCTGTGAACTCTTACCACCTAACCGAACAAATTCTGATGTCTACATTGAACAACTAACGAAATTAACTCAAATTCACAAATCAAGTTATTCCATTATGGATATCACCTATCTTTGGCCAGTCGGCAAAAATTATTAGAGCTTGGTTGGGATGTTTGGCCACATTCACCATATAGATCTGATCTTGCACCTTCTGATTACTTTTTGTTCCAAAACTCCTTGAATGGTGAACGATTCGATAATAATGATGGTGTCAAATTGTACTAGTTACAGCTTTTTTCTAAAAACCAGAAATTTTATGAAACTTTAGGATAATGATGCTGCTTAAAAGATGACAAATAGTCAGGGACCAAAATGAACAATACATTAGAGAATACAGTTATGTAGTTCCATGAAAAAAATGTATTTCATTCTCTAACAAAAATCCGCACTTACTCAGTTACCAATCTAATAATTTTGTGACTTCTCCATGAAATACGTAACCCCTTCATAAGCCTTCCCATGGCTTAGTGGTTAAAGTTATGAGCGTCGAATCAGAAGTTCCAATTTATAAACGCGCCTCGGACAGGCTGAAGTCAAGCAGTATTGACATCAGTTTTCGCATTAAAATATAATTAGCAAAGTGTTTCTGAGAGAAGTGATGAAGTCAAAAATTGTTAGAAACATAACTATTAAATAAAATATGCCAACATAGGCAAGGTCCTCAGATCACCAATATCTAAGCATAAAAACTTAAGGATGATAATTAATACAAACAATGCCATACTAAACAAGATTAAAATGGTCATCAATAATGTTCAATTATTAATATGCAATCCATGCAACATTTGATTGCCATCAAAAAGCTCTACTGAGTTCCTTCATATTCATAAGCTCAGCTAAGTTTCTTACAATAAATATGAATGGAAACCCTAAATAAAAATATAATCAATGTAAATGTAATGAAAATCCTCAATAGTGTGGACCTAAATTGTCTGAGGAAATGATTGAATGGGTTGATCTATAGGAAATTTTTTGATGACTGAACTACAATTTTATGACCGCCTACACGAGTCTTGCACACGATCGACCGAATGGAATTTTCTAGTATTCCATAGTATCACAACATAAAAAGAATTATTGTGTTTTTATGAAGTATTGCTTTTGCAATTGTTGGATTATCTAGAGTAAGCTTTGGAGTTTTTCCTGAAACGAATGTAAACGTAAAGATATAGTTAAATTTTCCTAACAATCTTCCTATGTATTAATTAAACATTACTAGTTATTGCATCGGTATTTAGTTGCTTTAGTTTTCAATCTTAGATTGATTGGTAAACTTTAAATGAATATAAATAAATTAAATGAAATCCTGCAACAATAGAGTCGGTTTGAATTTTCTTGTATCTGATAATAATTAGTGACAAAGCTTGAGTGAACAAACCTCCGATTCTCATTGAAATATAAAATAAAATGGATTTTATATTTTTGAAATCGGTTCAGCCGTTTTTGAATAAACGTCGATTTAAAGAGACAAATCTCTTCACTTACACACACACATACTTTTTCCAAATTTGGTCTCATTCGATTCAGAATGGCTTGATACGTCGAAAAAACATAAAATTAGCGAATCGTATTTTGGGATGGAAACATAAACTTCTCCTTCGGGAAATTAATCATCATTGTTAAATGTAAATGATAGTATGAAAATATTGAATTTTTACATTTTATATCAAATACTCCTCCTTTGAAATGTGAAATACAAAGCCACAAGTTTAATATATTTGATGATATAATCAAATATGATTCTGTTTATTCCAATATAATTAAATCTACTTAAATTTTTGTATTTCTTTATTTAATGCCAATTTAAATATAATTATTATCTAAAAATAAATCTATCATTATTATCCGTTATTATTTATACTCATATCGATAAGCTTTGATTTGGGTATATTTTGAATTTTAAAAGTCACTTAGGAAATTGACTTAAAAGTGTTATGTGTATATAATTATTTTTAAATTAAATTTCAAATTGTTGTTGTTATGCATATTTGTTGCACTGAATTTTCACCAAAATTGGCAACATGTGATATCTTTTAAGTACGGAGAAAAACGATTTTTTTTCGAAACTACTTTTTATAACAAAATGATCAAAGAATTCTATATATTTCATAAATCTGCACTTTATCGTAATCATAATTTTAGATAGTACATAAATAAAAAAATACCTATGAACTTCTATGTAAATAAATAGTCCAACATTCCTTCCTTAATTTTAACACGTTAATCGCCACGATAATATCAGAAAAATCACTTGGACCATGGTAACTTGTTAAATAATTTAGCTAGGAATGAATCAAGAAAACTTAATGAACCAAAGAAAAAAATAAAAAAATTTTGAGAAAACTTTTTTTATGACATACATATATATATCCCTATATTAAAACTTGTTTCTCTTTCTACCAAATTACGTATGTCAGACATGACTCATATAGAGCAACTTGTTAGCGTCAGACATATATGACTGACATGGCAATTAACGCGTTAAAACTGATTTTTCAAAAATATTAAAGCAATTTTAATGCGTTATTAAAAATGTGTTTAATAAATCTATAAAATTAGGTTTTATTTATGGAAGTTACAATTTATACTCACAACACCCACCTCAACGATATTGCTTATGCATTTATTTTAGATTTACGATATAAAATAACTTTATTATTTTACTATATATAATATTACAAAAATAGAAATATAAATTGACTTCTATTTGTGTATTATAGCAGTATGGAGTTTGCAATAAACTTCTACAAAGAAATCCTATTTTTACATTTTTTTATAAAAAGAAGCCACAACCGCCACGTTCAATAATTCAACTCGGCATATATGAAATCCGAAAGTTGTTTTTCCACCTCACAAAAGCTTGAAAAGCATAATGTGAAATGATGAAAGTTTCGGTTTGCACTAAATAAATGTATTCTACATTCGGCTTCGCGTTTTGGCGGTGGCCAAATGTAATTTCTAAATGCTGAATGCATCTCCACGTACATGTTCGCATATTAGTTGTAGTCATGAACACAGTGCGCTTTAACTGTCAAAACTTTTTGATTTTATCAATGTATGTTTTATCAAAAGGATTCTAGTTTACTTTAATGAATCCCACTGAAATTTGAAATGCATGCATGAAATGAGAAATCATTCGACGAATTAACAAAGCTTTAGTGAGGTAAATCAGGATAAATGTTACACAACTTTGAAGTGGTAGTAAATGGTCTCCATGTTTACAACGTGTAGAGTTGGCCGAAAACTAGTTTTTTTTTCGAAAGTATTAGGTTGGAAACTATGTAAATGCGGTTTTCAGCTTAGATGGGATCAATTCAATTTTTAGGTTTGCTGACGTAATCCACATATAAAACACCCTTAGTTATTGGATGGCAGTAGGCAGGTTAGTTCATCAGTTAAAAAGTTTTTTTTCTCCATTATGTAATCTTTATTGGCGTTCATTGGTAGATGGAAAATCAGAAAACTTTTGTCACAATTCGCTTTTTTATTTCTGCAAATTTAATTGATCATCTTTATCTCACGAAAAGTTATGAGCTATTTATAGAGATGAAGATTTAAAAAAAACTGCAGTGCAAAATTGCTTTCTGGTGATTTTTCACACAAATATAAGAAAGACTCTGGTTGTCCAGTTGCAGTTGTCCAAATGAATTGTCTATTTGAACTATTATCACCAACAGAATGATCAATTCTGATGTCTACATTGAACAACTAACGAAATTAAACAATGCACTTGAAAAAGCGACCTGAATTGGCAAATCTAAATGTGATTTATTCTATTATTGACATCACATATCTTAGGCCACTCGACAAAAATTATTGGTACTTGATTAAGATGTTTGCTACGTCTACCATAATATAGTTTACTGATCACTTTTTGATTCGATCTTATAAAAAACCACTGATAATCTAGTCAAACGGTAGTGTCAAAATTGCTTTGTCAAATTTCTTTCTGATGATTTTTCACTCAAAGATGAAAATCGCTTTGGTCGTCCAGTCTAAGTTAATTAAAAAGGAATTATTTGAACTGTTATTGCCAACCGAATTTTTTAATTTTGATGTCTACATTAAACAACTAATAACATTTAACAGTTGTTTAATCTTAGCCCACTCGACAAAAATTATAGGAGATTGGTTGGGTGTTTTGCCATATCCACCATATTGTCCTGATCTTGCACCTTCTGATTGATTACTCTTTCTTTCGATCTATACAAAATTCTTTGAATGGTTAACAATTCAATAATGATGATGATATCAAATTGTACCTGATTCAGTTTACCATACTAATATTGACAAAACCATGCGGTGGTTGGTGTGCAGTCAGGTGTTTTTCGGGTGTCAGATAGAAAATCTAACCTAGAAAACCGAACAAATGTCAAAAAAACGATCTTAGATAACAGAATGTTTCTGACACAGCTTCATAACATACCAGTGACATTGCAGGTTTATGTGTAAAGCGCCTGAATGCACAGCAAATACATTACATTTTGACAGTATTCAGTATGATTCAGTAGCATAATGTATCGAATTTGGAGCGTAATATGGCCTTGCCATAACATTTTTCTGTTATGTGGTAGAATCGGTCTCTTAGTGGGAAAATTAGATACACTTGATTTTACGAAGTACTTTCTTGTTGATATTTCACTAATATCAAATCCTGTATAAAAGATACAAATGTATTCTTCGCCAATTTGAAACAAATTTATATGCATGACAATATATGGACGATATGTTAGTTAAAGAATTCCAAATAAAATTAGAGCCAATTTTGGATAAATAAAATAGAATGTATAGTAATGCTATGCTAAATATCTATCTTCGAATGAGGGTAGTAAAAAACTGTCAAAAAGCCATCTATATTTATGCTATTGGGTACACATATAAAACGTCTGATGGCTTATGAGCTTCAGTGTGTCGATGTACTTTGATTTTAATTATTTTCAATTATTAAATTTTCAGAGTAACCGGTGGAGAACTTTTCGAAGATATAGTGGCGCGCGAATTCTATTCAGAAGCTGACGCGTCGCACTGCATTCAGCAAATATTGGAGTCAGTCAATCACTGCCATCAAAACGGTGTTGTTCATCGAGATTTAAAGGTCAGTTTTTAATAAAAAATATTCATTTTTGTTTCAAATGTAATATATTGGTCTATTTATTTCACAACTAAGGGTGATGTGTTGAGAAAAATCGGTTCTAAAATGGCTGAAAACTCATGAATCAGCTGCAAAATGGGAAATGTTGAGACATTATTGTATAACTTGTCCTTTTGGTGAAGCCTCGTTG